GTCTCATCGTTATTATATTATTTACGTTAAAAAAACGAAACATATAATAAAGTTAAATTTTAAAAGAATAAGCTATACTTATCAAATAATTATTTTAATGAATTATTAATTAGAGATCATTTTTAAAAAAAAACTTGATATATATTGATTTTTATAATCTACTTGATAAATACAAATATATAAATTTAAAAAAAAAAATAATATTTGTATGATATATGTGACAAAATTTAAAGTTGGCGAGCCGTAGAGGAATGAGAACAACTTGTTTTCAACAAATCAAAGCGGTGAGCTACTGATAAACTCAACTCGTCATCTTCAAAATGGTCCACCCTATTGGACACAGTTCGCCTCATCTCCAAGATCATCACGGCTCGACATCTCCTATCTCCACGGCTCGGCATCATTTCTACCAACGGTTCGACATTGAGTTTTAACTGCTCGGCGTCATCATCTTCCGTAATCGTCAAACGGCGAGTCGCATAAGAAATTAACAACGCTTTTCCATAATTCAAGATGGTGAGCCGTTGAGAAGAATAACTCGGCATCGTGCCCACGGCGGATCTCTCCACTCTCAAAATGTCATACAAGATTGTCGATTCTAACTTAACAAGGTCTCTTTAACTCGACACCATCATCACTGACGTTGTCGAGCTAGGGGGCTAACTGTTGGGATTAAATTCCTCCAACCGGAATCAACAATGTTGAAAATGACTAAGTGTTGAGTTAAATGGCAGGCAGTTTATGAAGACAATGATTTGATATTAAACCAGCGAGCCGATGTTTAACCGACCATCCGTTGGGCCTTTATCATAGTAAGTCGATATGGAGCAGGTCCAAGAGCTAGCCGACTTAGAGCTTTCCATCAATAAAGGAGAATCTCTAAGAAGCCTTCCACGGAAAAAGGGAAATCTCGAAAAAAAATGAAGTTTTTCTTATCGTTTTAGGCTTAGCCTTATTAGCCTACTTAGAATAGTATATATACATATGTACATCCTCCGCAGAGGG